CAATCCATGCCATTCCACAGCCAGGGCCATGCATCCTACAGCAACAAATGGCTCTGAAACTCCTGTGAGCCTTGAGCAACCTTGGGGCAAGAAGTCTTCCTCCACAGGAGAAGGGGAATACCCTGGATAGAGAAAGGCCAGCCAGCAGCAAAATGGAAAATTTTTTAAAACCTGGTGACATATAAATGTAAGCACTGACATCATTTCCAGGGAGCCCCCAAATGAACTCCGCAGGCCCTGCCCCTGCCTTGCAATTTTCTAAGCAGGGAGCTATAGAGACCACGTCATCCTTTGGAGGAGAGATGTGGCGTGTGATCGCATCCCCGTGACACACAGCTACCAGGCAGAGGTGACGCAATGGGGATGGAGAAGGGCAAATCGCGACTATTTTAGGGGGTCTGCTGGGACAAACGCTTGAACTGAGCCACATTTGGGGCTGGCCTTTTATTGTCTTGTTGCTCTTGCCATAAAAATAACCTCCAAATTAGCCCCAGCTGTTAGCAGGTTTCATCATTAAAATTTTGTTTGGTATCTGTGAGGAAGGAAATAAGCCACTTAAATAACAATATTGCATTTTTTTCTTTTTTCTGCTTCTCCTTCACACCCCCCACACATATACCATGATGTCTAGACCTGGATTTCTCCTTTGGGGCTGGTGGACTACTGCCAGATAAGACAGCAGACATCATTCCACAAACTTCTTTATTTCTTTTAGGATCCATTCCCTTCCCCCTTGACACGCATTGTCATGCACACGAGCAAAGGAACAAATGCACTGAGGGAAAATTTAAGCTATAAACAAACCTTCAAAGTTTTAGTTGCATTTTTACTTGTCTGGAAATGTGGCAATACCACGCAAGGCTGCCTGTTGTTGTACAGATCCACTAAGCAGACTAATAGAGTGCAGATCGGCAGCAGGGAACATATGCAAGCCACTCAGCTATGCATCCAGATAAATATGGAAGCCCTTTAGCGCCTGGGTTTCCAGCAGCTCCAGTATCCTCCTCAGCCGCATCATACTTGGGAGGGTAGAGAAGCCTTCAGAAGAGGCAGGAGCATCCCTCTTTGATTAGGCTGGTAATCTGCAATGTTTGGTTTCTCCCTTGTGCCTCTTGACATCAGGGAGGGAAGAATGAGGAGGCATGGAGAATAAGTTAACACAGAAACAGGTTGCATTGTGTTCTGCCTCAACTTTGTCCCCCGCCAAAAAAACAGAGGCGCAAGTTTTGAGGACCATCTCAAGGATTGCAAAAGGAAACAGGAGGTGCGGTGGGGCTGAGAGGGACATCCAAGCCTCAGAACAATTCAGCTAGGAATTTTCAGCATGCTTCTGGGAAGGATATTAGCATTATAAATGGCTCTGGCCTTGTTAGGCTGAGTTGCACCTCAGTGCAGTTCTTTGCATTAAAGCCAAACTGGCTTGCTACTAACTAATCATCAGGGTGGTGTTTTCTGGCAGCATTAAAACAAATTCCATGGAAGTGATGGATCCATCGTGCCATGCTTGACAGTGGATTTTGCCTAGGATCTTGTGACAATTTCACTGTTGATTGTTATTAAAGCAGAAAGTTTTTTGTGGAAATACATTGATTTCAGAGAAAAGTGTCTCTTACCCACAATGGCAGATGTGGTCAAAAAAGGAGAGAGTAGGTGCTCATTTGAAGTGGGGAGGTTGAACCTCGGGTTCTGGCTGTGTTTTGCTGGTTTTCTGGGTGCAAACCAGGGTCATTTCACCTGAGTGCTCTTAAAAGTGGTCCCTGTTCAGTAAGAGCTTCTGCTGGGTGGCTCTGCCCCCTCAGCTGAAGAATGCCATGTAAAGAGCAGACTCAGCTCAGCAGAAGTCTGTGGCCCAGGGATAAGATGGGGTTTAGGGGCAAGAGAGAGCTAAAGCTGCTGGTTACTTCCTTGGAGACAACACACTCGTGCCCCTGCCCGAGGGATTCTCACCCCTGTTGCCAAAGGGAGGCTGTTCTGGGTGATCACTCCACTAATCTGTCCCGGCATGCAAGAAATAGGATGTTTTACTCACTCTGCCCCACAGTCCAATGAATTTCTGGGCATGCAAACTTTAAAAATGAGTAGAAATCCGCTCAAAATCCATCTGAACTGATGTTTTCCACAACAGGGATCAGTGCTCTGCTCTCCAGGAGGACAGTGGGGAATTCAGTGAGGGGCAGGAGGCAGCAGGGGCACTCACTGTCTCTTGACACCGTTTAAAAGGTCCCAGCTTCATTCCACATTGCAGCAAAACCTTGTTTCTGAAACCTCAGCATTTCTTTGTGAAATGACATTCTTGGTCTGCAGCCAAGCCTGAAAAGACAGTCTCTGAGGTTATCAGTTCAGTTTCAGCCCAGGAATTATTAGGAAAAAGGAAAAAAAAAAATCCATTACTGCTTGACAGCTGGACTTGACACTGTGTGGAATGGGCTGGTGGGCTAAGGCCAACTGGAGCAAAGTAAAATGCTTTTCTGGTTGTTTTTTTGGTTTTTTTTCTTCCCAACTGACAGTAGTTGACAGAAACCAAGGGCTGAGAAGAGTGCAAAAGAACCTGTATCACCCCAGAAAAATCAATTTGAAATATACATCTGTCCCCAGCTACAAGCCCCATGCCGCTCCCGATACAACCCATCGGTACTGAACAGAAATAGAGGCAGTTGGGTCACTGAAGCCTGGTTCCCTGCTATTCCCAGTCACTACTGCTTATCATCACTTTCACAGCTGAATCTTAGTTGCAGAGGCTATAGGTTCTTAAATATCACAGCAACGCTCCCATGAGAGTACCAAGACAACAAAACCCTGTGGAAGGCCATGCTTGTTTGGGTTTTTTTCCCTACCCCTACATAAGGTATTTGGAGGAAGTTAGAGTTTTCCCTAACCAGTTTGAACTTGACTAGCTCCCAAATTGATTTAAGCTTCTTAAGGGAGAACATTTTAAAGGGTAAAAAAAGAAGACATATTTCACTTTTCCTCCCCACTTTTCTCCATGTTTCAGATAAGATGAGCCATGTCTCCCAGGACACTCTCAGCAATATGACCCTTAGTGTATGTGCAAAGGGAGAGCATAAAATCCTGTCATGTATAGGGTAGTATTTCCCCATGTGACCCTCTCAGCTCTCACTTGTTTAAGAACCTTTCAAGCTGAAGGCTGGATTTAGACTGTTGTATTAATTACCAATGGACTTGTCCTCCCAAAACTTATCTTTTTTCATCCACTTCTGCCTTTGATTCCCAGAGTAACCTGTGGCAATGAGTCACACAGCATTAATTTTAAATCCCTGTTTCCAGAAACAGAGATGACTGGAAAAAACATTTTTTTAAAAGTTGCTTTGGTGGTTCCCTGTGCTTACAAGCAATCAGGTATTTGCATCTCCAGTGGTCTACCTCGTCCCCCAACCCCCAAGAGCTTACATGAACCCACAATGTGGACTGGGACCCAGAAGGAGAGTTAATGCTCAGTTTTAGGATCCAGGATTTAGCAATTCTTTGCATCCCATAAAGAGCAGAAGCAGCTGCAAAGCTGAGCTTCAAATGTGAACTTGCAAACTTTCAGAGACTATGGCACTGGGATTTAAGTGGAACTCACAGCCCACTTCAGGTTTGCAATGCTGCTTTTCTCCCATTGCTGGCTCTTTTCCTGAGTTCTTGCCTGCTTCTGTAACTCTTGCACTTAAGCATGGACAGATAACAAGGGATATAATAGTAAGAGCAGAATGGTTTATAGTCCCATATACATTCATATTTTCCACCTTAAAAAAAAAAAAAAAAGCTCTGATAGTAGATGTCAATCCCCTGCTGAACTCCAAAGCATCTTTTTGTAAACTTAGTCAGAAATCTCCAAGTCTTAGGTGGATACTAGATCTCCAGGAGGATCTGGGGGAACTAAGGAAGGTAGTATTTGGCTGCTTTAAATACACCAGGAGAGTGGTTCGATTTTGATTTGGTTTCAGACTCTCCCTTTGCTTCTTCTGATGTTCTCTGATCCTGATATACAGGCTATGCCACAGAGCCTGATGAAAACAGGTCAATAGGTTGCAACTCTGGAAAATATCTATGCTCTGAACTGTCATCTTTTGCATTTTCCACTGTTCTTTTCAACCTCTACTGGCATCTGGGTGGGATGTGAATGAGTTCTGGAGAAGAGAGCAGACATCCAACAGTTCATGTCAGACAGCTTGAAGTGACAAGCTGATATTGAAAAACAGCATATGGAAGGCCTTAATGTGTGGAGATTTATGGAGTTGCCCCTGAAACAAAGTAAGAAACACATCCCCCTCACACACCTCTTCCTTTCAACAGTTTCCCTCTTGCGTGGTCTGAAGGTCTTATCCAGCCAAGAGATATGTTCTTGGGAGGTGAGCTGACTGGGGGGCGACTCGGCCCCTGCAACACTCTCAGCACTTTCCAGGATGTGCCCACTGTCTCTTCCTAAATCTGGGAATAAGATCTCAATCTATCTCATGGGGCAACTTCGAGACACTTGTTGCTTCCATGGGAAGCAATTCACTTGCTTCTTTCTCCCCTAGGCCTCCAGTGAAAAGCAAAGTAATTAATAAAGTGTAATTAATAAAAGACAAAGAAATATAGGACATAAGGTGGAAGAAAAGGTGGTAGAAAAGGGTGGGCTTTGAAGGTTTTTAATACAAATCCTGTGGGACCAACTTTCCTGACCTTCCAAGGCATCTACTAAAACACACACACATGCAGGAGCCCCAGGGCATGCACAACTTAGATCAGAAAATTGGGGACTGGGGAGCATCAGTGATGGTGAGATTGGTGAGACATGACCAGAGTTCCACAGGGATCCATCAGTCCTTGGAGCTAAGGTCTTGTGGGACAGGACCAGCAGCTCATTTCCTTTATTGGCTGGAGGATCTGATTACCCAATAGGACCTGCACCAGCACAGCCCCATCATGGGAATGTTAGCTCCCACACGGGAACTGCTCAGATATGTGTCTCCTGGTAAGAAAAGGCTCATCCTCCTCTTCTCTTCCCACACACACCCATTTCATAGAGTCTTGATTAGACAAAGTTTAGCTTCCATCTTCCACTTGGGTACCAGGAGTCATCCTTTTCAATTTCTCCAGTAGCTTCATTCCTTTAAAAAAGCACATACATATCAGGAAGGCAAAGCATATGTTTTCTATCTTCTCAGGGCTCCAGTTGCAGAAAAAGACACCTCAGCCTCTAGCTTTCTCCACCTTTTTTTTTTCTTAGAACACTGGTATGTAAACCTTTTACTTTTGGTGCAGAGCAGCTCTAACTCTCCAAAGACCCTAATGTTGAAGGAGGCAAGCAGGCATTTCAGTTGTAGTGTTTTCCTTTCCTGTTCTCATATTTTGCAAGTTCCTTTTGGGAGGGGAAGTATTGACTTTTTGGTCATTTAAAATCAAACTCATTCAGGTTGAAATTGTCTCTTCTATTTGCAAAAAGAAAGATAGGAAGCATTTGCATCCTGCTATGAAAGAGGAAGACTGCTCACATATGCATGTCTGAATGCTCTATAATCTGAGCATTTGGTCTTTTTTTTTCTGAAATACTATGTTTTTGTCTTAGCCGAAACCACCCCTTGCCTCATATTTTTCCTCCTTAAGAAGCTTTGAGTGTTTTCAGCCTCATCTGTGTTTACTCTTGTAGCCTGAACTGAGCCCTTTCCACTGATTACCCATAGCGATTAAGGTTAAATTTCAGCTGATTTGCACCCCAGGATGTGCCACAGAATAATCCTGAGCTCTTTTAAGGTGCAGCCACTGCCTGCATGCAGTACAAGGGGGATTTGGAGCTTGCAGGCCCTTTGTAGGTGTTTTTAGTTTGCAAGAAATCTGGAACAATTATAGGAAAACAACCGATGCTGAAGCACAATCCTACCTGTCTGGTTTAACTGTGCAGTAAGTCTTTAAACTTCTATTTCTTCCATGTGTTTATCCTCTTTTCCCATCCCCCCATTAGTTCTGTGCTAGCCAGAATTAACCCCACCTGTCTGCAGGGGATGAATGAATTTCCAGCACACTCACTCAGCACTCCACACTTTTCACTGAAAAAGCCCTTGAGACATAGTGACAGAACAGTCAACAATGCTATTAAAACATATAAAATATCTGTAAAACATCTTCCTCCTAGGAGCTGACAAGGTGGGTTCTCCTCATCTTACTCTATTTGAGGCCATGTTGCAGTACCATATTAGCCTGGGAGAGTGGGTGGCTCCATGCACTTGAAACTGAATTTCTAGCCCATTTGGGCTCAGGTATTCTCTAGAATTTTTTTTTTTTTTTTTTTTTTTGGTCTGGTGGGAGGTGTCCCTGCCCATGGCAGAGGGGGTGGAACTAGATGATCTTCAAGGTCCCTTCCAACCCAAACCATTCTATGATTCTATGATTCTATAAAAAAAAGTGAAAAGATATTTCAGTAGATTAGATTAAATACTTTATTCTGAATTATCTCAATAACCCCATTTGGGCTCAGGTTTTCTTTAGAATTTTTTTTTTTTTTTTTTTTTGACAGCCTGGGCTGGGGCTGATACTCAGGACAAGTGGGAAATGTGTTTGCTCCTTAGCTCAGAATTTTGGTAGTCCCAGTTGTCAGTACATTGTGACATTTAATGCAGTCCTTAAGCACCTTTTTTGGGTGGAAAAATTATAGGCAGCTCCTTATGCCTGCTCTTGGATCCTGGATGGGTCTTTGATCTTTCATTAATTCTGATGCTGAGAGCTCACAGTATGCGGTGGTGGCAGATGAGGTCAAATGAGGCTGTGGACACTGAGTGAGGAGTGGGATACTTAGATACATCTGTCTTATGGGACTGCAACCTCCTCTCTTCTCCCTATCCCACCAAGGCAGTGATCCTTCCCCAGTGTCACTTTTCAAATGGCTCCAGTTGCTGCAGCCACAAGGATAAAGGGGAGCTGATTCTGGGTGCGTAGGAATGGAAAGAAAAATAAGCACTGGACAATGGTGCCTCTATTTAGAAGAGACCCATAGGTGATAAGGAAAGCTGAGTATGGCAAGGGATACTGGTGTACACCGGTATCCCTTTTGACTTCTGTATATAACTTACATCAGGAGAGGTCCAGAGCAAAGACTGCAGGGAGAGGGAAGGAAGGAGTAGGGGTTACTGAGCCCATATTCATGGCTGAGAGGCAGAAGTAGAAGCCAGGGCTCCCGATCATGACAGCCCCCCGCTGCCTTCCCTTGAATTATTGCCTTGATTAGCATGATGTCTTGCCCCCGGCAACCATGTGGCATTGAGTCTATGGAGGAAAATATATGAGTGTTGAGAATAATTGGTTCTTTGATATTAGATTGCACAAAGGTCAAAGTGTACTGGGGAGAGCGAGACAGCTGAAAAGTCACATTCCCTGCAGGCGCTGTGGCACTGACCTCCTGTGCCTGCAAAAACTGGGAATCACAGATAATCTGTTGCGATGCCATGGCTTGTTGCACTGGGGGACTGCAAGATCTCAGTGCAAACACTGTGGTTTCTCAGCTGGCAACACTGGAGCTCTTTGTAGCACCAGGTCAGGTTGAGTACGGGGGGAGTTAGATAAGGTTTTCATGTTATGTGATCTGTCTTGTTGCATTATTCTAACAAATTAGACGCTAGAAAGCTGGTCTGCTGTTTTTCTGTCTATGCACCACCCCGAAGACATCTCTGTCTTCCCCTGAACTCTGGCAGCTCTGATTTACTTGGGACAAACCTGATATCTATGAAGGATCTTTCTGTTTATGTTTGTGGGCTCAGTGGAAACCCTGTGGTTCAGTGCCCCTCGTCCATGTCTCCATCAGCCAAGACAGAATTTCTTAAAAAGCTGAAAAGCTTTTCAAACTGCTAACCTCAAGCCTCTCAATGTGGAGTTTCATCCAACATGAAAGGATTTGCATCCACAATTTCCATCTATTAGTAGCATCTCCCATCCTCGGAAGGGCTCAGGTCTTCAAGGTAGGTCCACTTTTCTGGAGGGTCCTACAGGAGAAGTCACAGTAACAAAACAATGAGAATTAAGATTCATACCCAGAAGACTCTGAATTTACATGAATAGTGAGCAGCAGAGGTGTGCAGAATCCATCCAGAAGGAGGTGGTGCTACATACAGTACATGACAAACTGCAGCCTGTAGCTTATAATAAGTAACTGAGGTCCTTTCTAAAAAGAGAAGTTGTTGGCCAAAGCCTTACTGTGGGCTGTAGACAGATTCTGCTTTACTTTACAGCAAGCTCCTCCTTGATACACTGGGTAAGTCATTTAGCTTCTTAGTGTGTTGGCCCCATTTGTGCTGTGGTGATGGTGGATGTGAAGATGGATGGTGAAGATCCATTGCTTCTGCATCAAAGCAGCAATGGATTCAAGCGCTCATATCCCACAAAGCAATGGCTAAAAAGTAGCTAGGTTTTCTAGTGTGAGATAGACTTTCTCCAGTGCCTCTCCTCTTATGCAGACCTGTTACATCCGAAGGCCTCCATAAAATTATTGTAGCACTTTCCTTCACAGACAGGTTCAGAGATCATGAATTTACAGCACTGATTCACAGTGCTTATCCATTGGCCCTGGCTCACTGGCCTCAGTTTTAATCTGTTAACCTGCAGTGAAAGTCAGATAGGATCTCAAAGCAGGGGGGAGATTGGGGAATGTATTGACAATTCTTATCCTATCCTATCCTATCCTATCCTCTCCTATCCTATCCTATCCTCTCCTATCCTATCCTATCCTCTCCTATCCTATCCTATCCTCTCCTATCCTATCCTATCCTCTCCTATCCTATCCTATCCTCTCCTATCCTATCCTATCCTATCCTATCCTCATTCCTTTATCATGCTCTCTCCCTTGTGAATCAATGTTTAGATATATTGGAGAACAGATAACCTTCATGATGAAGCGGGTTAAAGCCAAGGTCTGCAGTGAGAAAATGTTCCTTGTTTCCTTTCTCCTTTTCTTGACTCTCTTCTTGCCCTGCTGGAGTACTGATCCCATCCCATCTCCTCTTGAGGTGCTGAAGGTCATTTTTGGTAGCGTTTTAACTGAAGCTGAAATTTTTCAAATAATTGTTTAGGGAAAAGACTGGGATTTGAAAGGACAATGGTTTTCACTAAAAAAGAGAAATCCTTGGCCTGGCTGCACCTAACAATGGGGCTCAAACTGTCACTCCCCATCTCTCAGTCACCAGTGGGTGTTATGAGGAAGTATCAAGGGTATGACTTCCTGGCGGTAGTTACTTCTCCAGAAAATAAAGAACCTGCAGAGGAAAGCAAGGGCATGCTGCCTGTTCAGCTGCTTCCCAAGTCAATGCCACACAGCACCCCAGGGAACGCTGCCTTGCAAAGTTTACTTCCCAAGGCCATTCAGCCATCAGTGGGTTGATGGCTGAATGAGAAGCCTGGACGTGAAGAGCCATTTCCTCCTGCTGCAGTGATCTTTGTTCAGGTCCGCTGGCCACCAACGCACTACAGTCAAGACCGTGCAAAACTTCTCCCGGTGTAGTGTGAAATTTGCTCCAGAAGAGCAGAAACATCTGGTTAGAGCCAGGAAGTGGTTGCTGCCTGGGTTTGGCAACGAGGGAACATGTAGTTAATACACTCTTACCTCATCAGTAGGTGTCACTGCAGCAAAAGACAGGGTCCAGTGGAAAGTTTCAGAGGGGAATAGAGAGGGGTACTTCAGCCAACCAACCAGATGCAGAGTCAGTTCAGTGCTTCCTGACTACAGCCAGAGAACAGCTATGGATCTGGGTTTATGAATCGCTTGTAATAAGGCTATAGGAAATGAGAGATTAAGGAAATGAGTCATTAAGTGATTACAAAGACATGTGGAGCGCACACAGTTGTGGCCGCCAGTAACAGAGCGTTGAGCAACCGTAAATTTCTTCTACGGGGGTTTTGGGAATGTTCCTGCTGAACTTGTATGCAGTAGTGAGTTACGGTTCGGTGGATGTAGTTGAAATGAACCGGTAGCAAGTTTCAGTCACTCTTAGCACAAAACCCGCAAAAGAGTTTTCTACAATTCAAAATCACCCTTTTGATGCCAGGCCTGCTGACCAGTCCCAGAAGAAATATTGCAACAATTAAGAAACAGTCACCCTCTGACACAGTAGGATTTAGGTCTGGGCTTCAGTACGGATGCGGAAGCTTTAACCAAGGCTCAGTTAAAACCTCTCCATCAGGGCCAGCATCTGGAAGCCGACAACGTGGCCCTGTGCTAGAACCAGCTTCTGACTCGGTTTCCACATGGCTGCCAACGGAGCTCCCAGCAGCTCCTCTTCCTCCTGCGAGGTGTCTCTCTGGTGTGCTGGGACCGGCACTGAGCAGTGCCAGTCGGGGGAGCGTGGATAACGGGGTCTGGGGGCTGCAGAGAGCAGGGTCGGGAGGGGAGCGCCGCGGCTGCACTTGTTCAGCAGGTGCACTACCATCAGCTGGTGAGCAGATGCTCTCTGGTGTGCCTGGAGGCCTTTGTTCACACCACGGTGAACCTGCTTCCGTTCCCAGCCTCTTGGACAGCAACCTTTCTGCAGAGGCAGCCCCCCTCTCCCTCTTCCCCTGCAAAGCCAGCGCTGAAGATCTGCAAACGAGCTCTGTTCATTTTAAGAGTCCAGGGCTTCAGAGGCAATATGGGAAGCAGGATTCAGAAGCTGTCACTCCAGGCAGCTGGGATAAGTCACAGAATCCATCGAAATGGACCCCTCCGCGTGGTTTGGCGTCAAAAAAGATCTTTTTAATCCTGATTTCTGGGAAGCACAGTCAGGTAAAAAAGACCTGAAACACAGGGCAGGTCAGCCCTGCTGCCTGCTACCAAAGCTAGACTCTCCTGCTCTGCATGACCTTCTTGCAGGTTCTTGCTAAGGCATCCTGCTCCAGAGCATGTGACGCAGCAGGTCCTAACTCCTTCAGCAAACATGGTGCCAAGCAGTCAAATACCATGGAAGGACTAAATGAGGCAGTCAGGTATCTTTGATGCTTTCCTAATGGGTTTACTAAGGATTTATATAAAGTCCTGATGGCTCAGATGCAGAAGAAAATGATACAATATGAGATATAGGTCCTTTGAGTCCTTTCTGAGACTTTCTCCTCAGCATTTTGCCTCCAAAGTGTGTTGGTTTTCTACCAGCACCTCTGCATGCTACAAGTGCTGGCTTTCAACCTGGCTCTATTTCTCTGTGCTTTGTTTACTGCTGGTTCCCTCTCCCATATATCTGACTCCCCAGCCCACTCCCTACCAGGAACATGGCAATAGATTCAGGAGAAAAAGTGTAGGTGGTCCTTTCCTCTACCCAGTAATAGACTGTCACGAAATAAGGCCTCTCAAAACAGGCATTCTGGTTAAAAAAAAAAAGGGGGGGGGCTCATTTTCATTCCACTTCTCTCAGTTTTATTTCATATTTACATTCAGCCTCCTCAGATTGTTGCTGGTCTTCCATGCAAACAGTATTTTGGGTGTATACTAAATTGTTTCACACAGAAGTTAATCACACCTGAGCAAAGATTGGCTGTAGTGCTTACAGTCACAGTTTGGTTTCACCCACTCCCCAAACTAACAACTCAATCTCTGCATATACAATGCAAACAAAAAACATTTCCTATTTGATTTTGCTCCCTCGGTTTCCCTGCTATCATGGAGCTAGCTGTCTTTGGAGGCTGAGACACTTCCAAATCTCTCTGTAATGGGCTGGTAGATGGGAGAGGATGGAGCAGAAAATCCACCATTCATGGCACTGCGGTAGAAGCTGCAATCCAAGCATCAGTGTGCACATGAGAGGCTCAGTATATGAGAGTTCCTGACCCTATGACTTTAAATCTGACTAGATAAGAAAGCCAAAGAGTGGGAGGTGAAACAGAAGCCCAGAGAGTTGAAAAGATTTGTCATAGCAGATCTGGGCCTGGTGCCCAGGCCTTCTAAGCACAGCTGGGTGATGATATTATGGTTATTGTTATTATTATTATTATTATTAATGATAATAATAGTTAATGTGCCAAAAGCTGGTGTTAGGGTAGGACTAAAAGAGATCACCAAACTGAGCAGAGTGTGGTGAATATTTTTGGCCAATGAATGTATCTATGTTGAAATCTTTCAAAATCTCTCAGGCATTTTCAAAACAAAACTTTTGAGGTTTTGAAATGGTACTTTACAATTAAAAATAGGCAATGCATTTCAAAGCAACAAAAGAAAAAAACCCAACTTTCTAAATAGTTTAAGTAACTAATAAAAAGCCTTTCAATTTCAGTCCAATGAAACATTTCATTCAAATCCAAAATCAACCTTTTCTTTTCATCCAAAAACTCAGAAGATTATCGTGCTGGTTGAGCTTTTATTTTCCTTCTGATTTTCCATTTTGGTGACCAGACCAAAATATGTATCACTCACCAAGCTCCACTCATAAATCCTAAGAAAAAAACGTGTCCCATGGTCTACATTAAACTTTATTATGTAGACTTTTCAACAATGAAAATCTCTCTCCCAGGCATTTTAACTACATCACCACAGTAACTATCCTACCATGCTACAACTTCTACTACAATATTTCTTTGTTGCACAGATAACTGTGACCAAGCCCTTGCTAACGTAATTCATGAGAGGGAGCAGCATGATTGAAACAATACTCACGCTTCAGGGTTGACCTCTAAACCTATCATAAGTCACAAGTGTCAAAATCAAGCAAGGTTATACAGGGGAGGTTATGAAATTTCATCACTTATACAGATGTTGGATTTTCTGCGCCGTAATTACAGAGTCAGGCAACTTACTTGATTGTGTATGTCCCAGTGAAAAGCACAAATTGACTTTATTTTGACTGTTTTTCATTTTTAGATGATGCTCACTATTTCTACAGCAGTTTATTTTCTGTACTGTCTTTAGAGAAGTTCCTTTTTGTTTGGTTTGTTAATATTGCTTGGTATGAGACAACGCATCAACACTTTTCATTCTAAGCAAATCCAGCCAAGAGGCATATCAGGGAGATATTTGCACCCTGATGAAATG